GGTCTTTTCCAACCTAAACGATTCTATGATTCTATAAAAGACGCAGAGTGTGTTCAGACAGTGCTGCCAGATTTGAAGCCATAGGAGCTTTCTGTGCAGAGTTCCACTTTACAGTGGGCAACCTTTAGTAAGAGTGGGATGTTTACTTTCTCAGCTACCCCACTGCTGGTCATGGCAGGTGGGTAACTCCAAGACAACTGGAAATCCATGGAGACAATTAGTCAAGCACTGTGGCAAGAAACCTTCCATTTTAGATAACTGGCAATATTGCTGTTTGATGAAAATGCTGTCTCCACCTTTCTCTTAAGTGGTTTGGGGTAAATGACGATGTTGAATGAAGAACAGTTGGTTTTGCAGTGGAGGTCTATTTGAACACCTTATCTAGACAGGTCAGTCTGGCTACATCAGTGCATGTCATTTACAGTTCTTTGTGTCATTGGAAAATATGGTGGGAATGTTCTTGTCTATTCAGGTCTCTCAAAATTTTTTCAGAATCTATACATTGTTCCATGAATTTCTGTTGATGCTTCAGAGCCATGTTTTCTAGGGAGCAGAGGGAAAATGCTTTGAGCTTAATACAAGTCAGGCTTCAGGGCAATATGCTGTATTGTCTCAAGAGCACTAAATGGAGCACAGCAACCTGTATGTCTTTCTGCACCATTGGAAAACCTGTAGCTTACACAGCTTAATTACTGAGGTGTTGGAAACTATGTGTGTGTCTGCACTGAATAATGGAGAAAAAGAGCAAAATCTTCATGAGAACAGAGGCTACAGTGGCAGCATGGTGGTGTAGCTGTATTGCATTCAGGGGCCAGGCATTGGGCTCTGCATGGTGGCATGGGGGGGAAAGGATGTCTGGGGAGCTTTAAGGTGGTGCTGTCCTGTGCTGTGAAAACAAACTTACGATCAGGTGCTGCCCTGGCTGGATACAATACCATTTGTGTCCTAAGCACTTCTAGCGGTATTGAGGTCTTTCCTTACACATTGCCCTCAGGAGATGAATGAGCTCCTTATTGTCTGGGGAAGAAGACTGGTGCTGGGTAACCAAGTTGAGGTGCTTTCTTAGAAAACACTGTTCAGCTCAGGCTGCAGATACAAGGTGGCTTCCCCACTTTTTCTTCTATAAATCTTTGTTCAGACATGTCTGCATTTTGACTGTGAGTAAACACCAAATATATTTGTAATGAAAGAAAGCAGGCAGATAGTATTGCTACCATACTTCACTTTCACTAAAGCATGCTCTAAAAGAAAAAAAATCAGTGGCTCTCTTTTTCCAGTAGAGTCATAAGCCAGAAACAACCTGGACACTGTCCAGATCCCACTACTTGAGAATCTGGCCTGTTAAAAAGCAGATGTGGATCAAGATGTAAATATTTTGGCTGAATTTCATCTTCAAAACTTAGCAATACCATTTATTCTGTGAACAGAATGTGTCTTCTGCTTTTAATGAATCTG